AGCTTCTGTGAGAGTTAATCCATGCAGAGCAGCAGGCAAGGGGGGGCTTAGGCCAGCTCTAATCCAGAACTGGACAGGAGTAGGAGAGTGGTGTAAGAAGGGGGGGTTGGTAGAGAGCAGGGTAGGCAGATGTTGGTCAATGAACTCTGCCAGGCAACCAGAATTTCACTCAGTGTGCAAAAATAGACGGAGGAAGACATTCTTCAAATCTATGAAGGACGGCTGCATTAGAAAAAGAAATGACTCCTGCCATGTTTTCCTTTCTTCAGCCATCACCACCTAGAGTTTTAAGATGTTTTGTGTGGGAATTCATACTATAAACGGCAAAGCGACTCTTATCTTTACATGCTTGTGAAAACTGCTGTTTATGTAGCTTTTCAAACTGCTTTTGTTTTTAGATATTGAAAGCTGATTGCGGCTCCTTATACACATAATAAAATACTTTGTCTTTGCACATTGCTACAAATTCTACCTCAATTTTGTGCTTGCTCAGTCCAATAAGTTAGCAGCAGAAGCAGAAGTGCAGCATGATTGTATGACCGCAAGTGTTAGAACCACGGGAAACTGCCTTCTGATTGTTATAGTGTAGCTAATTTAGCACTTACTGCTGTTTTAAGTGAATACTTTACCAGGAAACTGACGTTGAAGGAGCGAATAGCTCAATAGGCAAACCTTAGGGGACTTACTAGGTTGACTAAAAGCATCTGAAGACACTTTTCTGACTGTGGAGTCCACAAGGTGGGGCTGTATCGGCCAATTTCAGTCATTTTGTGAGAGGATTGTAGGCAGTATGAGGATTGTACCTGCTTTGCATTTGCACAGGGACTGGACTGTGGAGGTGTGTAAGAGTAGGCAGCGTTTCAACGTCTCTATAAGGTGCTTTTAATTGCTTCTAGTGTAAAGAATGCCTTGTGTGACTGTTTGAAAGTGTGCACCATTATATCCGACTTTACGGCTCATCATCCAGAAACTTGAAAGACTTGATAAAGTTAGTGTGGAAAGAGATTAGAGAAGCAGCGGAATGCAGGGCGAGCAGATATGTCACCGAGCTTTTCACTCCTTAAGCGAACGCTGTGTGATCCTGGGCAGTCTCAGAGAAAGGTGACCAACTGTGACAATGTCTTTGCTCGTGGCTCTAACACTGCGGTCCCGCGTTACACCGTGAGAGAGCTTCAAAGTTAGCCGTTCCAACGGTCTTGTGATGTAAGATTGCCTGGAACAATATTCTAACAGTGTTAAATTTAGGAGGGCTTTCGCACAGTGTTGTTACAGCGATGACCTGTTAAGCAACCATTAACAATGCAACATGAAATGACTTGAAGATCTTTGAGTCTTTATGTAAGATCAGAAATATATAAAGTCTATATAAAGTTATATAAGGTCGGAAAAGTGAAGCCAGTGCCAAAGTGCTTTAAACGTGCATTTTTCCAGCAGCGAATGAGTCTTTTGGTGGTCAGAAGAAATCAGATTTTTTAAAATAAATCTATGAGAAAATGACCCTGTGGTGAGTTTTTGGTCTCTGCCACTAGTTTCTCGTCTTGTTTAAAGCAAGAAAATGCTCATTTTGTGAACTAAGAGTGCATAATGGGTTAAACAGAAGATAAAGAAGCGTATGCTTTAGTGCTTTGCTATGATATTAACATACAGCGTCCATTGGTTTCTCACTCAGTGTCAAAACACCAAGATGGGGATCTCAAAAATGCTTCTTTCAAGACTTCAAAACACAACTTTATAAATCAAGTATGTAATATGTGGCTTCACCTGCAGTCCTTAAAAAAGTCATTGTACTGATTCATTAATACTGATAATAACTGCTGCTTTTACTGCCTGCAGATTGCGCAGCGATCCCTTCATGAATGCAACCATAGGTGGTGTACAGTGTTGCACACTTAACTTTTGATCTGTTAAGAGTATTTGTAGATCACTCCATGTAACTGATACTTGATAGGATGCATATACTTAAAACAGTGAATCTGCAAAATATGGAAGTATGTGTACAAACTGGTCATGATTACCTTTACCACCTAAACGAAAGATCCACCCGCTCGGACTCGCTCTAATCCTCATATCCAAAGATTCAGAACAAGACTTTGAATCCAGTGAGGGAAGTTTATCGGGTTACATCCATCTTTGATATACAGTCAGTGGAAAACCTGTGCCAGTGAAAAACCAACAGAAAGCACACTATACGGGGGTAAAATGAAACAAGAGTCCAAAATGCAAGAAAATGTAGTTGTGATGTGTCAACAGAAGCCTGGCTTCTCCTATGTGTTTTCCAGCTGTTATTATGACCTAGCATCAACTCGTAAGACTACTGAACTCTCCATCTGTAATGCCTTTGAAGTAAGACCATTCAGAATGAATTCATTTTGGAAGTCGATGAATAAAAAGCGATACGTCTAAGACTTACTGGAGTCTCACAGATTATCTATGCGCCTCTGAAAAACAGATGCAACCCTTACAACATCTGGCATGAATGTGTGTTAGTTTTAATCTCTAATGCTTCTCGGTGACATTTGCATTCATTTTTTTCCTCCGGAGCAGTTGCTATCCAATCTGTCCGAGATGCATGAAAAAGCTGCGGTGTGTTTGCTCTGTGCAACAGGTGGCGTGTTGCGGCATGCGTGTTACTGCAAGTTTATCAAAGAGGACTGGGTGCACGGTTCTAATCATGTCAGCTGAGGATTGGTCACACGGCAGGTTTATTCAAACATCAAACCCCAGCTTCCCTCCACCCTCCCTCCTAATAGGGCAATTAGACCCAAACATCTGCCGGTGTATAGTCTTAATGATTTTGCAATCACCTGAAGAGTCATCAGTGATGCACGATAATTACAATGTCAGCTCCACTTTGAAAAAAGAAAAAGAAAAAAGAGAAAGGCCAAACAAGGAAGGAGTATGAAAAGTATAAAGTATGTTGAATGCGTTATCCAAAGTATGAGTCATCTGTATGCTTGTCACCAGCCTCAACTACTCTCTAATGAACGTAGGCACTAAAATATATAATTAAGAAATGAATAACAAGTAGCTGTTTGGGTCTGATGCAATGCCTTAAATAATCCCAAGCTGCTTCTTCTGCTGCTGCTGCCGCCGCCATGGGAGTTTCAAAGGAGATAAAGAAGTATAATACTGCTGCAGCGGCTCACAATCTGCTTTTAGAAATTGCGTCATGGGTTCTGTATAGTGTATAGAAAAAGACAGACCAAAACACTGCAACAGTACAGGTGATGAATGCTTGTGCTGTCTGGCTCCGATCTGCTGTTGTGTATGAAAGTTAATTCCGAGGTGACATTTTCAAACATGGAAAAAGATGACCCCATACTGGGATGCCTGCAGCAGCTCCAGTGATGATTCATATTGGAAATAACTCAGCAGGTTTTGGTGTCAATCTCGGAATCGCCGTTTCGGTGTTGTCAGTCACAGCCACAAGACAAATTACAGTTTACTGCAGCCGCGTGTGTTTTGGATTAAGATGAAAAACTGACTTTTTTTTTTCCGTGTCTGGCAGCAAAAGCTACTGTAAATGCTCTTCACGAACTTGCGGCATTATGCTATAGGAAAGCATTTTGCTGGATATTAATTTTCTAGTCCAGTCAAGGCCTTGTGTGCAAAGAAAATGAAAGGACATTCATAAAAGCGAATGTGAATCTCGAAAATGTTAATCAACGTGCAATGACAAATAAGCCCTTGAACACCGTATAAACATCATGGATTGATGTGCATCGCTGTGGATGGATTTTTGCTTTAAGCTACCCCGCTACCCTCATTTGTTTGTGTTGAAAGACTTACTGAAGGACAGCTGTACCCAGGC